CACTGTGACCTGTGTTGCTTTGCAACTGTGATGGTGACTGCAACATTTGCGTTTAAGGAAAGGGAAAAACCCAGCAGCTTCGATGCAAGGGTCTGTAATGATAGTAAGTGATGTTGTTCTATAGTGTTGTTTCAGACTTTTTTTGTGTTACAGACATCAACCTAATTCCCTGACTGACAGTAGGGAAGGTTCTGTTTTCCTTTGTTGGTCACATCACTCAGCTAAGCCTTAACTACTTAACTGTCCCCCAAGAATTAGCACTAACAGCATATTAATCTGTTGTAATCAATAAACACAGCTGAGTGAAACACAACATGTTAGACAGTTGAAGAGTAGCATTTCTTACTCTCTCAGCTCTTGATGCTGTAACGTTGTGGAAGTGAGCTGTATCTGAGCTGTATCTCACTCAGGAGAAAGGGCAAAAGGATCCTGACAGCAAAAATCCTGTGAAACTTGCTGAGGCAGTCTGGGTTAACTGGATGGCCTGACCTCTGGGTAGAAACTGGCAGATGCTATGTTACAGAACACTTTGTTTTTCACTGCACCATGGCATTGGGAAGTAGAAAAAATTTTAGGACAGTTGGATTACCTCAAGATCATCATCACTGGAGCTCCACTTTGTTCTCTGAATTGTTGCTCCAGAGGCTTGTGTAATCGATTTAGGTCATCTTCATTATCTCAAAAATATTGTTGCTTAGGCTCAGTTTGGTGTCAGAACCAGAAGTTAAGTTCAAAGCGTCTTAAAGCAGTAAGAGCTGTTGGGAGTAGCTTATGTTATTTGCTCAGTTGTTTCTTAGTATGTGGTAATTTCAGTGATGAGTCAAATTCAGATAATGGAACTGAGCATTCCTCCTGCCAAATGAAGTCAGTGGCTCTGAGCTGCCTATCAGCTGTGTGTGGAGCTGCCCAGGCATCAAATGTATCATGCTCAGGGTGAAAGGACCTCTATTTGAAAAGATCAGTATTTAGAAGAATTTGGATAATATTCTGCAAAAATGTTACTATCAGCATTAGCTACAGTTACACACTGTGCTTTAACATGCTACAGAATTACCATTTTCATGCTGGATTAAATATATTTGTACTAACCCAATCTTGGGAGCTAAGAATTTTAGAGTGACTAGGACTTGGAAGCTGGCCATCCTGGGCTAAATTTGCACTAAGTGAGCGGCTGAGGTCAAATACTTGAAGAATAATAGATTGCAGAAGCAGAAGGAAAGACAGTATTCAAACATACTAATATAGTAGAAGCTAGCATGACTAAAACACTGGTACAGACAGGACTAAAACAGCCAATTGCTGAGGATTTTCAATTTATTCTGACAATTTTTTCTTCTTACATTTTTTTTTTTTGAGATTGAAAAACTATATTCCCAGTTATCAAAAATTCCCCTTATCAAAGCTCGAATACAGGATTGTAGCAGATTGGTTTTAGGCCATTCCTTCAATTTTAGCAAGAGTTTTGGGTTTTTTCTTCCCAATTTTATTGCTTTGGATTTTGTCCATTTGCAATCTAATAATTACTGGCAATCGAAACACATCAGCAAGCTAACATACCCCACTGAGCTGAGAAGATTCTGAAATGCTGAGGTAGAAGAATATCAAAATGTCAACAAGCTGCAATTACAAGCGGCTGTGATAAGAGTCAGATATAATGACTTCTGCTCACCTTTGAGGATAAAATTGGCAGGTATATAATTTTGTCTTTAACTCTGGTAAAAGGTGCTTATGGAAGGCTTATTTAGCAGTCTGTTTTTTTCTATTAAAGTGTGAGATAATATTCTCTCTTTAAGTGCTCGTGTTTTTTCATGTGCAAAAAGCTAGTATTTACACTGCTCTGGATTAACAGGCATGTTCTGTGTAAAACACATACAACATTGAGAAGAATGCTAGGTCATGGTTAGTACTTCAGATAACAGCAGGAGTTCCAGGAACAGCAACAGGGATAATCATAGTCTACAGTGTTAGGCAGAAGTTGTAAAGAAAAGGCCTTGTGTAGCCTGGCAAAGGAAAAGGGAAGACATAGCCATATTTTGACAGCTCACATTCCATCAGGAATAAACTTCCAGCTCTAAGGATCAATGGTCATTGGAGTGGATTGCTTGGGGAGCCTCTGTCTTCAGAAGAGTTTACAACAGCTCAGGCAATTGTCAACAATGGATTAAGTACAGCTATTCTTGTCGTGGGGCTAGCGGACAGACAGTATCGTCCCTCAGACTCTGCTTTCAGTTGTTCTAGAGCAATTGTACCAGCCTGAATCACCCTGCTGTAACCATGGGCATAGTTTTGCAGATTTTCTCTACTGATACAATATGAGACGAGCTAGTCCCAGCTACTTTTCACTCACATTTTCTTGAAATGCTCACTTGTTTTTTTTACATAGCAGTTGATAGCCTCTCCAGAACAAAGATTATATCACCTCCTTTACAGTCCAAAATCTATCTATACATCTGCACAAAACCCAACCTTAGTCCCGTGAATAGGGTAAGTATATAAGCCTGTTCTTCAAATACTCACTGTTTTTGTAGTGCCTGTATCTGTAGAGCATTTTAAAAGCTTATTCCAGAAAACACTCATATTCTCTTCCATGCTTTAATGTTAGTGGTTAGGCAGATGATTTACAGGACAGATGACTTTGAACAAGAATTATACATCTCCAGGGTGGTAATGCCTCCTTGTACACCAGTGTTTTTTAAAGTGGGGCGTGGGCACAGTGAATACTCTGTATATTTAATATGGTTTATGGGCAGTTACTGTATCATTGTAAATGACCTAGCAATGTAATTGTAAGCGCTTTGTCAATGATACCAGAGAAGAACTAGTCCAAAGTGAAAGACTGACCAATTGGAAAAAAAAATAAAAGTCTCCAAACTTGAAATTCCTATTTGTGGATGAAAGCACCAGTCATGTTGCTCTATAGCTTTACTTCAACTGGTTTATCCTGCTTATTTCTGTCAGGCATAGCCACAGCACTGAATTATTTGTTCTAGCTTCTTGTCTAGTCCTTTATACATTTTAATGAGCTAACTTCACACTGAAATACGTTAGCTTATCTGAGACTGCTTCTTATTTTGCATCTCCTCAGAACTACTAAGGTCTACTGGCAGACTTACTGTAGGTTTCTAAATTTCAAAGCTCCAGGATTAGTGTTGGCGATTTAGCCTTGGAACTTGCTGTCTTCCAAATTCTGTTAGGGATATGAGAATGTGAAGCCTCAAAGCACAATGTGATTCCCTTCTTCTTCTGTACATTCTTAGCTGTTTTTCTCTCTTTGTTTCCTTTTTAGGGAGAGATTTGCATTAATTTTTTTTTTTTAATTTGGCTTACCTTTTTCTATCCAGATACATTGCTGCTGTATTAGTGGCAACATGTACTTTTAAAGACAATGTAAACAGATAAATATAACAACCTTTTTGCTGAAAAACCAATGTCCCCACAATGCGCTATCTAATTACCAAATAACTACCTTGGTAAGTATCAGAAAGGCCAAAATTACATTACAAACTAATCCTGCACTTTAGCTGTGCATGAAACATACATGAAAGTTTCTATGAAACCTCAAAACAATTTTGCTCAGTAGTTTTCTGTATAATGGACAAATGAATGAAAGATTGGAGAATAATGTCTCCTGGAAGATCTGAGTTTGGGGTAAAAAGAGAGGCAGTTTGTGCTGCAATGTTAAAGAAAAGAATGAAACCTGTCTACTTCTAGGAAGAAACAGCTTGCTTAGACACCTTCTTTTCTCTCAGTACACCAATGTGTATGTTCTTCACTATATAAAATAACTTCAGTCGTCTTCATAGTGCTCATACTGCATGGACTAGAAGTGATGTTTTTCAGGCTTTTAGGTAGCGACATCAGCCTAAAGAAAAATTGTCACTTCATCCCTATCCTAACCCCAATCCACCCACAAATCTTGAAGTTAAAGTTCAAGCTTGAGCTAGCTTGCCTGGCAGAAATAGGTTGTTTGACAGTAGAGCTACAAACACTGCAGAGATGAGTTATCTACCAATTACAACAGCTTATCAACTGCTAATCCAATTAGTTTGCATGGCTTCACTGTTGCGTGGCTCTCTTCGTCCTCTCAGGCTGAAGGTAGGCAGTAATTCATATGCACTGATACAGCTAACACTTGCAGGAAAGACAAGCTCTAAAAATTCTCCTAGAGGAGGATGAGTAAATCACTAAATATCCCAAGAGTAATTTAGATGCTATGATCACTGGTGCAGGCAGTATATAATCACATTTTATTGACAACTCCTAAAGATCAGTCTTCCTTTGAAGCTGCCTAGAGTGAAAGTGAATAGAGCGTAGCTAGAGGGCTTAATGTAACATACAGTGGCGAGACCTGATCTGGCACGAAATGAGCTGCTTTGGGTAAGGGGAAGCACTGTACGCCTTTTAGCATAGTGCTGTACATTGGCCTGCATTCACTGCTGGGAGTTTACACCGTATCCTTAGAGACAACCATTTGCAGAGAGTGTAGCAGTTTGCTTATGCAGAATCAAGACTCATAGCACATCTGAGAACTTCAGGTAGTAAGTTTCTTGGAGGAGAAAGACAAAGGCTGTGTAAGTGATCTTGTAATAGAAAACTTGCAAGCACAGTTTCTGTATAAATAAATACTGGACCTTAAATATTTTTTTTAAATTCATGTTTGATCACTCCAATAATGTCATCGATTCATTTTTCAAAAATGCTGTGCTTCCTTGGACACGGGTTTGGGAAGCTGTGTTTCATCCCAGAGATGTTATCACAGCTTTATAAATGTCTGCATATAATACTGGAAAAACACTGACAAGAATCTTCAAGACAGATTGCTACTAGGTACCACGCAACAACCCGCAAAGCAATTCTGCTTATCACAATAAATAGGATCTCAAATATACTTGGCTAAAATGGTTATAAATTCTTTAAATGTGTTAAAAAATAAAGCAAATTATTAGATGTGTGATTTATGTACTGGTATCAATAATATTTTTATATTCTCTTTCTTGCAGGAGGTGAAGTCACCAAGCCCAGGTTTGCTCAGTATTTCCATGGCAGCCTGGCCAGTCTAACTATCCGGCCAGGCAAAATTGAGAGTCAGAAAGTGATTTCCTGTTTGCAGGCCTGCAAGGAAGGTCTGGATATTAATTCTTTCGAGAGTCTTGGCCAAGGAATAAAGGTGAGGGAAGAACTGACATCATCTTTGATACAAATTTAGAGCTGATTTATGAAGTGGAGAGCCCAAGGTAGAGTACACACAGTACAAATGTACTCCCAGAAGCAATGTAATTTCCCATAAAGTCATGCAAAGAAAAAGCAGAACAGTAGGAGAGCTATGACACCGCAAAGAAAAATGTTTCCATTATTGCAAATGTAAACGTTCAAAAAGTAAGGCGCTGCTGATATTTCAGAGTCCATAAGAATTACCAGGTTGTGTTCTCCGGCTTATTTTGGTAGTTATACAGAAATAGACATGATTCCAAAGAATCATGGAATTTTGATCTCAAGTAGCTTTAAAGCAATGGAAAACATAAGTGGAATATCCTTCATCTAAAGGCAACTCAGAAAGAAGTCCCAATGCAATAGTATTGAAAAATTCGAAGTGTATTTCAAGAGGAAAACATTATGGGACGTGAAAATTGGACAATAACAAAACCTAAAGTCAAGAAATTTAAGTTTTACATTTGCATGTAAATAATTATTCATCTTTATTATGCATATGACTGCCTTTACTGATATTGTAACACTTTTCCTAAGAGTGCAGAACAACAGACAGAAGGAAATCCTATATCAATTGCCATTGTGGCCAGATTGCTTTGCATTCATTATGGCAAATTCTTTTCTTTTGGATACATATGTAGGTTCTTTACTACAACTTCCTTAATGGTTACATGAGATACACTGTCAGTTTCTCTTTACTGATACTGTTATTAGATGACGAGTCTTCTTCTGCCTAATAAGTAAACAGACCGTTAAGCTATTTCCTAGCACCCAAACCACAATGCCATCTTCCAAAGGAGCTGAGCTTCAGTTTCAAACTGAGAAGATAGTTTGGCTGCAGACTGTGCATTCTGTGAAACTGTACAGGTGATTTTTTAGTGTGTTGTTTTTCAGTGGGGAGGAAGATGGTGCTGTAACACTTGATCTTGAGCACATGGTGGAAGTGCCATGTACTACATTTTATTAGCTGAACCTTTTCATTGTACAAGATGGGAGACTGATCTGAAATACACTCAAATGTCTGTCTAGGTGATAAGTTGCAGTGGTGTAGTATAACCACTACAAAACCTTGTTCTCTGAAAACAAGGGTAAAAATGAAAATTGAGAGTGCAAACGTAAGGAGGAATTTTGCTAGCTCTAGCTTTTACATATGACCAAAACACCCCAAAGGTATTTCTTTTCCTCATCCTACCAAGGACGTCATTAAGAATTTCACATTGCTGAATCTCCCAGCAAAATGACACACTTATGAGTAAAAGCTATTTTTAAAAGACAATGCATACAAATAGCAGGTAGGGTTTTCTGTAACGTGAGTGTATATGCCTACAAGTTCTTTGGTGGGATTTCATATTAATTAAAGCAATGTACACTTGGTCCGTGGTGCTTAAAAGCATAGCAATTCCTCCCCTATTGTCACACTCTGAAACTTGACAATATTTGAGTAGTGTTGTTTCATGGGCTTGGAAGAATCCCTGTTACACCACCCATTGCTGCTCCAGCATGGGTGATTGGCTTCCTTACTATACTGGCAGTGCAGTGGGGAAAATGAAGATGAGGGATTGTTTTCTGCTTTGTCTTTCACCAAACTTCAGAACATTTTCATTTTCTGAAATACAGATAAGGCATAGTGTTTTTTTAAAGTTACTGTTTTCATTTTTATTTCCTCAGCAAGCTCAACAGTCAGTGCAACAGCAGGAGGCAAAAATGAAAGGAGATAGATTGTGGTAGGATTTCTTATTGGGACTGACAGAAAGAAGCTCAGATGAAAGTGGAACAGTTGGCACCTGACCTTGAACAGAAGATTAATAGAGAGAAAGGGTTTCTGGTGTCAAAAATAAAAGTACCTGATCTCAGACAAGCATGTGTGACAGTTGTGCAGATGATAGGTTCTGTGTGGCTATTCACATGGCGCTTAGCAGATTCAGTGTTGGCAAATTGATGTTGGAAGGTGTTTCTGCAGGGCACTTTGCACTCATGCAGCTTCACCCTTTTAGCCACCTAAGAGAGAGCAATGCAGCTGTAATACAGTTTCTGACACAGTAGTGTTGGACTTTTTTGTCTGCAGTCTCATTTTCAAATATCTGTAACAGCTCTCGGAAACACTGTCTAAACTGTCGCTATTTTTAGCCTTTTTTTAATGAGAAAGACAAAAATGGCTCAGACTAGGGCTTTTTCTAGTCCCTTTGGCAGCATTCCAGCTGTTCTGGCAGCTGAACTATTAAGTCAACTAGCGAGCTAGAGTCTCCTTTTGCTAATTTTATTCTCTACTACTGCTAGCTTACAGAAAGGAAAAAGAAGTGTATGCAGGCTGTGACTCATCTTAGTCCTCCTCTTTCTTTGTTAAAAAAAATACCCTTCAGTGTGTTATGACCTTCCTGTGCAAGCTTTAAACCCAGTCCTCCATGTTCTGTTCGACAGAGAACCCAGTGCTTCATTCTGTTCTTCACAGTCTATTTGCTCTTTTGCTTTTTAACCTTTCTCAGTGTAAGTAAGTGTAGACAACCATTGTCTGTATATAATAGAACATGTTCATTATAATCAATATCCAGCTTTGGGAAGGGACTGCATGTGAAAGAAGGGTGAATTTCTTTGTGTTTTGTGCTGACAACAGTACGGTACAAAATCAAGGGGGTTAATCTGGTTTTCTCTGCAATGCAGATGGTTTGCTGAAACAATTAACAGACAAAAAAAAATGGAATCAGGAGGAATTATGATGAAGATAAAATCAATCATTTGCTATGTGACTATAGTAGCAAAGTTTCTTGGTCAGCAAGACTGTTTCACATTCAAAGCAATAGACTACAGAACAATCAGGGCTACAAGAATAGCCATTAACTTTGCAAGGTTTGTTGGCTCAAATGAGCAGCTGGCTTTGCACAAGTAGCAGCTCCATCTGAAATCATGACACCCTTTTTGATCAAGAGACAGAGAAAAGAGAACTCCCTTTATTGTGTTTGATGTTAATGAAGATGTAGGAGGCAAATGTTATAATTGTTTTGTTCATTCATGTTGAAATATAGCTTGGAAATATAGCCCAGGGTAAAACCAAACAGAAATCAGGGAAAAAATGCTTCTGCATGCTACTCTGCTTTAAGCCAATATTTTTTTATGAGGGATGTGTTTAACCTGAAAAAATTACATAGGAATAATAATGATGACAGTAAGTTAAAGTTTTAAACTCCACAGCTGCAGAAATAGAATCATAGAATCATAGAATCATTATGGTTGGAAGAGACCTCAAAGATCATCAAGTCCAACCGTACACCTGATGCCACCCTGTCCACTAAACCATGTCTTGAAGTGCCACATCTAAACGTTTTTTGAACATCTCCAGGGACGATGACTCCACCACCTCCCTGGGGAGCCCATTCCAATGCCTAATGACTCTAACAGTGAAGAAGTTCTTTCTAATGTCCAGCCTGAACCTCCCCTGGCGCAACTTGAGACCATTTCCTCTCGTCCTATCGCTAATTACCGGGGAGAAGAGCCCAATCCCCACCTCACTACACCCTCCTTTCAGGTAGTTGTAGAGGGCGATCAGGTCTCCCCTCAGCCTCCTCTTCCCCAGTGCTAAAAACCCCAGCTCCCTCAGCTGCTCCTCGTAAGGCTTTTTCTCCAAGCCCTTCACCAGCTTTGTTGCCCTTAAATAGTATCAGCAAAGTTGATATGGCTGGGCGAAGTACAACAAATTGGGATTAGTTTATTATAAAATTAATTATAACAGTAGTTATTCAGATATGAAATAGATGACTGATATGAGTACATATTTTAGGGAATAACGGATGGATTCAGCCAGCAATAGCTACTAAGAATTATTTTTTTTCCTTAAATCATTAGATTTTAAACTTAACATCTGTGCAACATTCCTTAAAAATGTCTTATTTTGTACTCTGAACCTGGTACCTTAAATACTAATTGTATGCATTTCCCCTAGTATCACTTCAACCCTTCCCAGTCAGTCCTTGTCATGGAAGGAGATGACATTGAGAATATAAATCAAGCTCTCCAAAAGGTCTCATACATCAACTCTAGACAGTTTCCTACTGCAGGCGTACGACGTCTCAAAGTCTCATCTAAAGTCCAGTAAGTTATACTTCAGCTGAACTGATTAGATAAGGAATGTTTTTAATGAATTACTTTTTTCATTGGACATGTAAAAAGAACAATTTTGGGTAAATTACATCGCTAAATCATACTTCTATGTTACTGAGCATAAAGGATTAATTTCATTTACTTTTATGTTGATTTATGTTGTGGTTTTCTTTTGATATTATCCTTTTAAGAAACTTTTCTTGTTAATGTAATTTACTTGCATTTTGTTTATAGTTTGGAGCATACAGTCCAGACTGAACAGTACTTGCATTTATTGCATTCTTATTTTACTGTTCATTTTAAAAAGTTATAGTTTCTTCTGAGATAGCTAACTTTTAAAGTCAGCCTATTATATCTAGACAGACAACATATCTGCAAGAGCAGTATTTGTAGCTATGCTTGAAATGGTCTTTGTCTGTCTGTATCCCTTTATGGCTGTCATCACTGAAGTACCGATGTGGGTTTTAAACAGAAATCCGTGTCCTTCCATTTTCATGCAACAATAGTGACAGAACCTGCACAATGAGCTTACAGATCTACATAATCAAAGAGCCGTCTGTCACTCCTGAGCTCCCCTGGGGTACATCTGTGTAAGAGCAAGTTGTACCATGCAGTGAAAGCAGATCTTTAGGATGAAAATAAACATCAGTTCTACGAACTCTCATCTACTGTGCATACAGTTCTTACTAAGTACTAGGTTTTGTCTAGTGCCGTGGGCTGAGCACACTAAGTGTCTGGAGAGCATCTTCTGATGTAGTTTTGCTGGAAGAGATCCAGTTTGCACTCTCCAAGGCTGGCCCAAGCCTTGTGCCCAGATGAAGTATGATAGAGTTGGTCAGGAGATTCACTTCCAAAGCACAGTGCTGATTCAGATGAGAATGCTAATATAGGCCCCTTTTGTTCCCAGTAAGTATTGGGGGGTGCCAGAATGAGTTCATGATGGGTCCAATTTAAATGGATAATTAGGCCCTTTTATTTACACATTATAAGATAACCATATTATATTCATTAGATGCCACTTTGAGAATTTAATGTTAGGTTTACTAAAGTTAGTTGTCATCATCTGATTAATTTTTTTTAACCATTCACTACTTTGTTAAATGTCAGTTAAGCATCAAAATATTCTCATAGTGACCTTACTTAAGACTGAGCTTGTCATGAATGTTTGCTAAGCTGTCCCTCCATCATTTCAGTAGTTGTGAATGTGGGAGGGAATGAGAAACAGAGCTGTTGCTGTCACTGCTGGCGTACGTACATGGTGGTACAGATGCATGTCCTTGTGCGTGGCAGTGTCAGCGTATGGAATAGAGTGATCTGAGACAATACAAAGGGCTGAGTGCCATCAGGCGGGTTTTGGGCAGTGGAAGTGCCACATGTTTCTGATATGCAATGTTACATGCAGTTAATGAATAATATATTTTTCAGATGTTTTGGTGAAGATGTCTGCATTAGTATCCCAGATATAGATGCGTATGTAATGGTGTTTCAGGCCAATGAGCCCAAGATTACCATAAGTGGGATGGACCACTTTGCTAGACCAGCTGCACAATTTGAAAGTGAGAGAGGTGTTATTTTGTTACCTGACATCAGGATTGTCAGCACAATCACTAAAATGGAGCATCCAGTGGACTTAAAAGAACATGACAGAGGTTTGTGGATTTCTTTTTCTTTTAAAAAATATTACTTATTCTGTAACATGAACCCTCACATTTTTTTTAAAGGATAGTACAAACAAATTACACAAAGTCACTTCACCCAGATTAACTTAGGCAATGTTAGGCAGCAGTAATGCTGTACTGAAGACATTCAATTAAACACGTTGAAAAAAAATGTGTTAGTGATAGATCAATATATGCTCAAAAAAAGCAGCTTTCCCATTTAATATCTTGCCTAGTTCAGAATAATTCCTTTCCACTCTTCTTTATATATTCCATTGAGTAACATATTTTCATTAGAATCTCGCTATTTGTAACAGAATTTTGTTAATTGTTCTGATAAAGTGGAAAGCAGTAATTGACTAATAGTTGGAATTTTAGTCTATTCTTGTTTCCAGCTCTGCTACTGACTTGTGGGTGCTACTTGAGAAAGTAACCTTGTGCTTCAGTTTCCCACCTATATAATGTAAATATAATAATTTGCAAAGATTTTTTTCAATGATGACAGTTTACTCTAATGAACAATGTGTGTATTATTATTATATATGTGTATTAATATTATGAATAAT